AAAAAACTTGTTTTTCAACGACAATCCTTTCTGTTCTCAGCTCCACATCTTGGGCATCTGTACACAGTGGTCTTGGCTGATGCTGCTCATCGATGGCAAAAGCTAAGAGACCCCGAAAGTACGCACGTTTTCTCCACCGGTACGGATGAACATGGCATTAAGGTTCAAAATCTCTGTTTCATTGCTGAAGTGTTTGTACTCAATTCCCTTTTCAGATATTTCGGTCAGCCGAAAAAGCGCAGAAGGAACCATTGAAGTTTTGCGATCACATTTCGGAGAAGTTCCGTGATCTCTTCCAGAAGTTTGACATAGCTAATACAGACTTCATTCGAACAACCGAAGACCGCCACAAGTTATGTGTGGAACATGTGTGGGTGAGTAAGACATTGTGCTTTGAAATATATCTCGCTCAACAGAGAATCTTTATTACTCTAGAAGCAACTTCTCGATGCTGGCTTTATTTACAAGGATGTCTATTCTGGATGGTACAGCATTGTTGATGAGTGCTTTTTTGCAGACGGGGAAGTCGAGGACTCACCTTCTGGAAAGGTATTACATTCTTAGATAACTTTCAAGTAGGCTGACAAAAGAGGTAACTATAACTCATGCTGTATATATTAATATTGTAATATGATTCTATTCTGGGAATTGGATCTGGTTCATGTTGTTGCACATGCTAAAATACTCGAATCTTTCGCTGTTTCTAGGTTGTCAAAGGTACAAGGAACCCAGTGGAATGGGTGGAAGAACAAAATTATATGTTTCGATTAACAGATTTTAAAGAGAGATTGAGGGAATGGCTGTTGAATGCAGGTCAGTTGAGTTGTTTCATTGAATAAATCATCCTATTCCATTTATACTAACATAAAATAACAAAACAGCTTAGGGGTAGGTAGCAACGGACACTAAGTTACTAGCGCGAGAAATTTGAAATTCAGTTGTTCTTGCAGCAGCAGATGACAGTATATGGATCCAAACATTTTCTTCGCATCTTTCCTTTTTCAGCTATAAGATGTCAGGGAGACGCTCCTGCAGGGTTCTCATTGTCTTCCATG